TGATAAGCCGGGGGGAAGGGAGTGGTGCACCTGACCCAATGGCATGGCCTCTGACTTACTAAAATTTATTTTGTAACCCGAAAATTTATTAAACTCATTAATAACAGAAAGGACTGACATAATAGATATTTCCGGTTGCGTGATAAACAATAAAACATCATCAGCATACAAGGAAATCTTATGTTGTCTGTGATTAATAGATATACCATGAATAGTAGAGTGGATTCTAATGGCTTCCGCCAGTGGCTCGATTGCGATCGCAAATAACAAAGGTGATAAGGGGCACCCTTGGCGCGTGCCCCTCCCCAGAGCAAAGTAGGGAGAACATTTACCAGTCGTGATAACAGCCCCTAGTGGATTATGATAAAGCAACTTGACCCATTCAATAAATTCTTTACCTAAATCAAATTCCTTTAGTGTGAAAAACAAGAAATCCCGTTCTATATGGTCGAATGCTTTTTCTGCATCCAATGACACTACCATACCTTTAAGATTATTTTGCTGACACAGCTGAATAATGTTGAGTAACCTTCTAACATTATTACATGAGTTCCTTCCAGTAATAAACCCTGTCTGATCATTATTAATGATAAATTGAAGAATTTTCTCTAGTCTTAAGGCTAGTATTTTAGATAAAATCTTGAAATCTAAATTTAGTAAACTGATAGGTCGGTAGGATGAACACACATCCGCTGGTTTATCCTTCTTAAGAATCAGGCTAATGTTCGCTTCTGTAAGCGTTTTGGGAAGAGCTCTCTTCTCAAAGGAGTGATTAAACATGGCAAGTAAAGGTTTCACCATCAGCAGCTTAAAACGTTTATAAAAATCCAAGCTAAAGCCATCAGGACCCGGAGCCTTTCCTAATTGTAAAACACCAACTGCCTCAGTTACTTCTTCCAGTGTTATAGGTCCATTCAGTACTGTCTTTTGTTGGTCACTACGCTTGGACAGGTTGAAATTGGGGAAAAAACTCTCCATGAGTCTAGAGACCTCTGCTGGCTGCTCACTTGTATATAACTTTTCATAGAATTCTGTAAAAACCTTATTTATGCCATTGCTATCCATTTTCACCTGCCCAGGGGCATCTTTAACTGAAGATACATTCTGAGAATCAGATCTACTCTTGACCAGGCTGGCTAAGTACTTGCTGGATTTGTTACCAAATTCATATAGTTTTTGCCTTGCGAATCTAATACTCTGCTCTGCCTTCTGAGTGAGCAGTGAGTTAAGCGTAGCTCTTGTGGTCAGAGTTGCTTTAAGATTAGCATCGATAGGGTTCTGGTTATATGCCCTCTCACATTCAGATAGCTGTATCTCTAATTTACGTTGCTCTTCTTGACGCTTTCATTTTGTGCTTTTTTCATAAGACATAATCAGACCTCGAGAATAAGCCTTACATGTCTCCCATAAAATAGAAGGAGATACATCAGGTGTGTTACAAGAAAAAAATATCTGAAACTCAGTCTGAAAAAAAGATATGAAATTTGGGTCATCCAACAGATGATTATTAAACCGCCATTTACTCGATCGTTGCTGGGCCTCTCCATGTGAGAAATTTAAGTAAACCGGAGCATGGTTCGATATCGTAATGCTCCCAATCTCGCAGGATGAAACAGAACACAACATTGTTTTAGGGACGAACAAGTAGTCTATCCTAGAGCTACTTTTATGCACTCCAGAGAAGAATGTGAACTCTTTGTTGTTTGGATGTAACGCTCGCCACACATCCAAGTAGCCTAGTTCGTCACATACATCAGCTGTTGCTCGCGCCCGTTTAGTAGGGTTAGTTCCTTCAGCAGGTGATTTGTCAATGTGAGGGTCTAATATGCAATTGAAGTCTCCACCAGCAATTGACTGAGCACAGCCCAGGTCCGCTAATTCTGAAAAAGCTTTTGTTATGAGATCAGGAGGATGACCCGGTGGGGCATAGACATTTAAAATAGAAATAATTTCACTAAACAGGCGTCCTTTTATTGCAACATATCTTCCTGCATTATCCTTAGTACAGGATTCTAGCGTAAAAGGAAGCCGTTTGTTAATAAGGATGCAAACTCCTCTGCTATTGGAAGTGAACGACAAAAAAAAATACCTGTCCTACCCATTCTCGTTTAAGTTTTTCATGTTCTATGTCTTTTAGATGTGTTTCCTGAAGCAGTGCTATATCAACCCCTTCTTTTTTTTAGATATGTCAATATTTTTTTTCTTTTCACAGGATGATGTATACCTCTAATATTCCATGTACATACCTTAAGTACAGAATTAGTCATGGTAGCTGAAAAAATTAAATATAGCAAGGGTCGGCCGTTGCCTTAAGTCTGTATGCATTATACTATCCATAATCTAATTCCCTCCATGCGCCATACCTTGTGACCAGGAAAAAAAAAAAAAAAAAAAGAAACTCAAATTGCTGCGCTGTCTCCCAAACCCCTAGAATGAACCCCTGAACACAACTATATACACACAATCTCCCATGAACAAGTAAACTAATGGGACTCAAAATAAAGAGAAGGGTGGAGACTTCAGAAGAGAAACCCTAG